TGTGCTCTGCCTTAAATCTGGCTAATTTTATGGATTATTAATTTGGATTTATAATTGTAGAACCTGATGAGAAATTATTGAAAAGAATATTCTTCGTTCATACAAATGTGTTTTAAAAGAAAATACAATTGGTGAGAACTGTAGTTCATATGCATTGAATGCTACCTAACCAGATAATTGGATTATAGGCCTATTTCATAATTAAATGAAAGAACGAGATTAAAGATAAGTATAAGAACAATTGAGGAAAAAAGTGAATCGTAACATGCGTATGTGCTTTATGGCTGAAATGTATAATTCATGTTAATTCTCACTTGACCTAGAACTAATTCAGTAGGTAAACCATGAGACAGGTTGAGACTTCAGAACCCAACAAATAACAAAATCAGATTATTCTATCATTAAATAATTAAGGAAAAGTTATATATACCTTGAAATAATCATAGTCTTCTTCATCACTAATCAAATGTCATCGCACACATGACTTAAGTCTTTACATTATTTGGTTAGCAAATAGACAAGCGTTAAGTGACGCATATTTTAGTAATGCTCATAAAAATTATTGGCTAATTAAAAGAAATACAAAATGCTCATGAGGATTATCATCATTCAAATTTAGAGCCGCTTTCTCTATTAAAAAATAACAGGTTTGCCTTTGAAATGAGCTTTTCTTTTGAGTTTATAAAAAATACTTTCCTAATGACTTCCAATGTTTTCGCGAACATTTTAAATAAGCAATAGATTTAGGTAAGTATTTAGAATTTCTCAGTTCTTCATCGGTTATGAAAGAAGTGATTAAAGAAGGTGTTGCTTTGTGAAAGACTCTTCAACAGTGAGTATACAGACGTTATCGTGTTACTGTGAGAAGACTTATAAATTACTCGAATTGTGCTTCATAATATGATAACAAGTGCTTGTAAGTATTGCATTTGCTTTGATTATACTCTTAAAGTATTAATCTGAGCCAACGTTCCTCTCATATGGTGAACAGTTATCAGAAGTTAAAACGTTTGCGTATCTAAGTAGTTTCTTGCATATTAGTGAATGCAAAATTTCCTTTCTTCTATGTGACTGAAACCAAAGCGATACACAAAAATTTATAGCATCTCCATTGTCATTGCCTTACAGGCTAACAGTAAAATGCGAAATATCCGACATTTAACTGTCTTCATTTCCATACCGAAAGAACTTCAGCTCTCCTAGCTATGGCTGTTAGATGACTCTGTTTGCGTGTGTTCGATCCTCATTGTATCTCCATGTTCGCTGACATTTAGTAACAACAATGTATAAGTGATTCTGAGATCAAGTGGAGTGTGTAGGCTTAATGGAGATAACTCTTTATATATATGGCCACTTGAATCAGAAGCTTTTCTATTTGCACACATTCTAGACATTCCATTTCAACAGCTAACATAAGAATACTTTTCAATGTTTTACAGGTCAGTTGGAGAGAAGTGTGAGGTAATTTCTTTTAGAGTTTGCATTTTAAAGTTAAAATCAGCTTTGTCGTCAATATTATTATATTTATTTCAGCTATTTCAATATGATTTTAAGAATTATGTACATAAATGGCTTAAAATATGTTCGGTTATAGCTAAAGATCAAAACCAGTTAAAATTATGATTTAGTTTACCAATGATTTATACGTAAATAATTGTGGAAACAAAATGTTGTTAGTTAACGTTATAATGTATTTAACATGACTATATTTTCGTTTCTGATCAGTCAATAATTCTTGGTTTCTGTGTTTCTAAATGTCTGCTACTCTATGTAATAATGGAAACTGATTCTGCGTTTTGATAAATAAATATGTTATATGACAGGATATGATGATAACATAACTCAGGTCAATTCAATATGGACTTCCTTTAATATGACATGTATGAACCTTTGTTCAGTAGCAATTATATTCCCTTTTGATTCAGTATAATGACTTCTCAGGGTGATTATCATTTAAGTTTCAGTGTAAGAACTTGACCAACATAAGACTGATTACAGTTTCAGTGTGATTCTTATCAATTATGATATTCCTTGTATTGAATTTACATGAGTTATATTCAGCATTACATCCAATGTGAGATGTTTTTTGTAACTCAGTGACCGTATCTTTACTTGTAGTAATCTTTTAGGAACTTACTTCAAGTCATTGGAATTGTAGTGGTTCCACATTTTAAGGCATAAGTAATGAAGCGACGCGGATATAACAACGGGATTAAGGTGTTATTATTACCAATAACCACAGTTCAATATCAGATATAAAGTTTGACCATTGAATTTAATATTTAACGAAACTCGATAGATGGAGAATGAAAAAGGAAATACAAATAGGTCACTGTATATATTAGTACTGCAGCTGAGAGTTAATAATCACTGAGTTAGAAGACAAAACTTGAATATTTCTATTAAAATTTCCACAAACACCTAGTCAATAGGTATACTATTGGTTGGCATTTTTTCACATTTTTTGGTTTTTTTAATGTATTTGTATTGAGTGACATTTGGTTTATGCTTCTTAAATACTGACTGACAAAGATAATCGCTCTCATATTATTTACAGTAAATGTTCACATTCATAGCATATCATGAAAAAGAGGCATAAATAATAACTCATAACTACACAGAAATCCCCATGATGTCACTTAGTAAATATGACATATAAGCATTTAATTAATCTACATTAGGATTCTTTTTATCTGATAGCTTTGATCAATCTGATTTAGAATTTCAGAATATACCAATACGAATACTTTCAGTTATATATATATATATATATATATATATATATATATATATATATATATATATAAGAGATTAATGACAAACAACAATGTAATATTTATCATTACCAGTCATTTCATATCATTTTCTTATGGGAAGTCGATATGCTTTAACTGAATTTAAAGCTCGTAATTGAATTTCATTTTAGTCATATTTAATGAATTACTTACTCAGCTCTCAAATACTAGAACTAAACTGACTGATCTTTGATTAGTCTAGACAGAATAATAAATGTTAGCAAACTTCGTAGAATATATCATTAAACTATATTACCAGTTAACCTCTAAAGCTCAGATGATAAAACGGCAAACCAGTGTTGCGTAAGTTAACAGGTGATAGTGAATATAATCTAAGGTTTATGTTGATCTGTTGTTATAGATAGGCAAAATACGTGATATTAGTTTGATTTCGTAGTAAATATTAAACAGTTTTTTAAAAGTGAATGAATACTACATATTTGTGCAGACATTCAAAAGATTTTTACAAAGTACTATGATGTATAACTGAGTAGTGAGTACTTGAGATTGAATTAATAACTTGAAAAGCACTTCAGTGAAATGTATAGCAAAAGAAAAACTATCACCTTACAAGGTCACTATCCCTGTTTTAATGTTATGTTCAATGGGAAAATAAATATTAGTAAATGTTGTTTAAAATGTCACCAAGTTTAAAATATAAATTTAGTTAATCATTCATAAGATAATGAAATAAATATCTTCTACGTGAGTATAAGTAAGAATGCTTATGATCAGACGATAATCTAAACAATTTCTTTCGAAGTCAAATATTTTTAATTTATTTCACAAAAGCAAATTGTCTGAAAAAAAATCCGATTTGAGATATAATTGTGAATAAACTCTGTGATCACAAGAAATAAATATTCATCGAAATGTCATTTTAATTTAAATTTCCAAAATGCTCAATCCCAACCAGAAGAGGTCACTAGTAACCTCTGTGATTGTGAAAGTGAGTGACTGAGGTTTGAATTTCGGAAGAAGCATCAGTCATCTTAGTATTAAGGATGCGTCTTACTGATAAGTATCAGCTTGCAAGGCTCTCCCCGGTTTGAGGATTTTTGTTGACTACTTCAACGGCCTAACAGTATGTACCAATTTGATTAATTCTCAATATTACAAGGTTTAACAATAGTTCATACGTCCATTCTCTAAACCTGTCTGATTATCAAAATAATTTGTGTGATTTTTTTTTGTTGAGGACTGGTAGTTTTACTTAAGATTAATTTATAATGGCTACTAGAACTCGTATAGTTTTAGTTCAAAGCTATACGGAAATGTTTAGTTACTCTTTATTGGTGAATTACAAGATAGTGTTATTGTAAGTTGCCTTTTGGTTTGATAACGTAATATATTTAAGTAAGACAATATTAATAATGTGAAAATATCACATTTATTTCTGATTTTGCTCGGTTTCGTTTCAAACTGAATTGATGGCCGATAAAGAAGTAGGTTGAAAAAAGTTACCGTTTATCAGATCAAGACATATTATGTTGGCAAGTCTAATCCTTTTGGTTCAGGCAAGAACAGAGCTCGTAATAAGAGATATAATGACGTTGAGTAATATGAGGCAAATCTGCCTTATTTACATCGTCATAAATATATATATATATATATATTCTATATCGTTTGATCCTTTTGAACTGTACTTGTCATGTTTAGATTTATATTGAACCTGAAATTAATCATATATATATACTACTTTTATATCTTTCCTTGCAGCCCTTTAATTTTAAATTTGGTTATACCTCATAAGTATGCCAGTTACCATCAGATTGGAACTAGTGTTTTCTGTTAGTTTTAGGTATAATTTAGCACCACAGTTTACTAATCAAATTTTCAATTCACTATTTAACCAATTATTGGTCACTGGCTACCATGGGACTGCATCTCCTGACGTTATTCCAGTGCCTTGTGAATCAGACCTTTAGGTCGAAGGCTCAAGGTGTGGCCTCCTAAGAAAACCACCTGCTTCAGTCTGGGCACCCGGGCAGTACCACAGCCCACACACAAATCAAGTGATCTATGTGGTGCATATGTATTCGGTGCCTCTTTGTACCAATATTTATGTGCTTAAGTAAATATAATAAATTAAAAAATATATTTTCTGCTTTATTCCAATTTTTTTCAGTTACAATATGATTGGATAAAACGATTAAACAAACGTTAGAAATACAAACATATACACATTTTAACTTGTCTAATTCTATGAAGAGATCACACTGTCGAAATTCCCGTCAGGCATATTCTAAATGTCGAGGAGTATGCTGTCTGATACTAGGCATTGTAACTGGTTTGTTATTACTGTTAAATTTTAAAGTATTCTTTGGAAATACGTTCAATTATCAAGAGTACTATAAATATTATAAGAATAAAAAAAATTATTTATCCGATAAATTAAGAGAGTTTATTGTTAAAAATATTGTGGATGGTGGTAGTAGTATTAGTCGTAGTACCGCTACTACAAATTATGATTATGATAATAATAAAAAATATCTAATCATTAATGCACAAACTACATATAACCATTTAGACAACAAAAATACACAGAGTAAACAAAAGAACAGAGAGCATACAATAACTATTACTAACCCACCTTATTTCAATACAACTACTATTAATTCAAAGCCAAGTATTCACAGTAAGTCTAGTTTTACAGGATTGTAAATAAACTCTGATATTAATATTATAATAATCTTATCTCTTTTCATTAATAGTAGATACAGACTATTCTACAAAACTGTATAATAAAATAAGAATATTGTGTTATATTAATACACATCCAGAAAATTATTATAAGAAAGCCATACATGTACATAAGACATGGGCTAGAAGATGTACAAAGCATATATTTATGAGTACAAAATTCGATCCAATTCTACCGGTTGCTGGTAAGTTGCAGTATTACAAGCAGAATACTTACCATATAATTCTTTATATATGTACATAATTTCTTCGACATTATAAATTACTTGCTAATTAGTAATCAGCTGTTATGACGATTTCTCATGATTAGTAGTCAATTAGTTTTGTGACCTTGACGTTTTGCATTTCTTCTTCATATCGTCATCTGGGCAATTTTTCTTCAATTTCTAATCCATAAGTGTTATAACTGTGAAAATAATGCTGATTAAGGGGTAGGGAATTATTGATCGGACCAAACACGCGCAAACACGTAGAACGACCTAGGGTTCTGATTGTCTCGCCTCCCTGTCTAACCCAGCCAGTTGAGTCCAGAACGCAAGTCACAGCCTCGGATATATGAATCATTATATTTCAAACATACTTTGTTTATATACCAGTCAAGCAGTCCACAACGTACCATAAAATAGAAGATAACATTGTACAATAATGGCCAACAGGAAAATAACACGTCAAATAAATATTAACCAATAAGATGATACCACTCCATGTCCAAGGATAGAATTAGGCTTAACAGGATAATTTTTGGGGTATTTCCCTGAATATCCCAACAATAAGTGTTTTTCATTTCCCTATTCTTCATTAAATTCTACACCAATATGCAATCGTATTTTGAAAGTTGAAATCTCAGTGCGAAGATTTGAGCTCAATAACGTGATTCTATTATATGATTTAATTTTTGTCTGTAATTTGATAAACTCACCAATTTATTAAATCATTGTGAATATGACTGCACAACTTTAATAGTTGAAATAGTAGAAAAGAAATTTTTTTTCGCTGAATTCTCTCTATTCATGCTCAATGATAAATTGAGTTGCTTTCATTATATAACATAACTTATCCTTTTTAATGCTAAAGAGAGCAAGAACGAAGTTTGATGAAAAACAATATAAATTCATTTTATTTCGTTAGATTCTCATCAGCTGCTTCCAACCAGTAATATTTGAAAATCAGTTATTATAGATATTGACATACTTATAAATGCGACAGCGATTAGTGATGAGAATGTGTGTGTCATGATGTAACTAAGATTTCAATAGAGTTAATAAGACCATAAAAAATTTGTTATACATAAATAAATAAAGTTTGGAAGGGAGAGTTCCAGAACATTAAAATAGTGATTAGAACTCGTAGAGTTAACAAACATTAGATGATTGTGTAATGAAGTAACCGAAAACAGATTAATGGTAATAAAGAAAGATATAAGTTGAAATCAGTGAATTATGAATTGACGAAAAGTGACAATGATATAACCAAAAGATGAAAAAGAGTTTAAATAATAAGTGATGCAATAAAAAGGATGTAATGTTATCAGGGCAAATGGGGATTTATGAGTGGTTCTTCCTGAACACATAGATCTGGTTTTAAATGTTTGATCGCTATCGCTTTGGCGAATTGTGGAAGATTGGAGTTTGATTGTTTATTAATCATTTTAAAAGACCTCAATGTATCGACTTGATGTCCAGTATCAAGGAGATGTCTCGAGATGGCACTGCTGGATGCTTTTAATCGACTTGACCTTTCGACTTTTGGAATATGTTTTTTGAATCGGATGTAGGCTCTCCTTTCTGTTCTATCCATGTAACTGCTTTGGCAAACAAATGTTAATTTGTATACATAGTTGGTGGTAAAATGAAAGGGATACCTATTGATGTTTGATTGTGTTAAAGAAAATGCTGTTTTGGACAAGACGATCAGTTTAGCTGTAGGATAAGTCCTTGTCAATGCAGTTTTTAGTCTCATACTGATTGACCCTGTGACATAATCACCTCTGAATTTAGGTTGAATAAAAATTGGTTTTTATTTTCTGTATTTCCTTTGAGTTTTTCATCTTCACATTTCGCTTATTTCTCAGTAACTTTTAGTGGGTATTCGTTGTCCTTTAAGCACTTTTTCACATTGATTAGTCTCTCTTAGGGTGTATCGGCAGTACATGTTCTTTCTGTTGAAATTTAGAAGAAATAAAGACAATTTAGAAAAGAATATTTCCCTTCCGTTTATGTTATTTATTAAAGCTCTACAAGTGTGATAATAGTTTTTGAGAATACATCAGACTTGAATAAAATAAAAAAATATAGCATCCTATAAAAAGTGATCGAAAATGTCATCAAGTATACGAAGAAATTACATAGTAGGTAACAAGGATAATTGTTAACTTGATTAACAGAAAGAAACTTTCGATAAATTTTTTGTAAGTATCAGAAATAGAAAGGAAGTTATGTAATAATGTAATGGTGAATAAAAGTTCGCTAAGATATTTTGTAAAGGAGACAATTATTCATGATGAACAGAATAATATAATGTAATAATAGCCAATTAATAATTATAAAGAACAAATGGGAGTTAAGACAATAGTACAACGAAAGACTTGACATAGGGCTTTTGTATGCATAGATTGGAGTGGAATCGGTGAACTGTTGATGTCTCTGGTCTACATAAATTCCTGCTTTGTAATTGTTTATAAATCGCTTCACTTGAGTTTATGGACAACTTTTAAGGAGGATTCAGATGGCATGACGTTACCAGTGTGTATAGTGTTAAAAAATCGTGATCCTTTTGATAACCAATAATATTTATATGTTTTACATGATGCTGGTACAATATATTCTGAAAGACTGTTGATGTGTGAATTATCCAGAATATTTCTGTATGTATGCGTTCTCATTTTCCTTGACTTGTGACAATGCTTCTCAATTTACCTAGTACGATCTAACTGTCAAAAATAATTCATTTTCATAAAAACCATCTATAATTAACACATACTATGTTTTCATTAAACTAAAAGAATTGTTTGTCCCTATACTTTATATGAAATAACAACTAACATTATCATTATTAAATATCATCCTAAAAAACACTAAGTCTGTTTTCATACATTATGAAGCTACTCACTTCATAAAATACAATTAACGGTTTCGTGTTTGTAGAATAAATTTATTATGTATATGTACCTATAATTATATTATTTATGTGTCGGTAATAAATATGTAATATCCAAAGTGTTTCATTTATTGTGGGTCATTAGTGAAGGATCCGTTCGATTACTGACTGACTTTAATCATTTTACAGCCAAAATATATCACCAATAGGGGTTTGTAGAGATTGTCTAATTTCGGTGAAGTTGCGAACTGACCTAAGTTAAGCAGCCAGTGAATATATATGAGCACTAGAAAGCCATTTTGTTTTATTACGGCCCCCTAGGAGTGCTCATCCATGACCCCACTACCGGGAATTGAACCCAGAATCATCGAGCTGACAACACAAACCCTTAACTTCTAGATCACTGAGCTGGGATCCAATGGAGTACATGTCTAATTTCTATCAATCCATGATGCTGCTATGCCATCGTTTACTACATATATTATCTAGACTTTTTATATGAAATTGGGCACTATTCGAATCGAACAACGCTTGACGAATATACACTAATTTATGCCAGTTTGAGTCAACCAAAAATGTTTACATTTTCCCTTTTCCCTCCCTCTGTTTACAACAGTTTAATTTGTTACGATATAACAGTGATGGTTTACCCTTTTAGCTGGTTGTCGAATTAATGAAATACTCCAAATTTCGTCTTGGATAAATTGAACTAACAATAGAAACCATATAATGATGTAATGTTTATATACATTGATGATGGACCACTGAAATATTTCAGTTTTTACTATCAAAATCCATAAAATCATAGATGCGGATAAAAAGATTGATTGTGACAAAATTTCACATGATTCTGGGAATAGTTTCTTGTTTTAGCAAGACTTAAAATAATTATAAGCAAAGATGGATAGTGGCTAGCAGTGGAATCCAGGACGCAGATTTCTTCCTATACAGTATGCATATATGCCAATAAGAGACTGACCGATTGCAGTGCTAAACATCAATGATAAGATTCAAGTAAACAATACCAAGTGAATTTAATACTTAGATTCTTCTAAACTTTAGTATAACTGAATGAGTATGTTTTGTTAGTCAGTCGTTATGAGGCCTAAAGAGTTTTTTATGCTTTCAATTGACTTTACGAGCAATGAAATATCAAATACAAGTTACGTCTATAAAATTTAATTTTGTTCAAGAGTACTACTGATTATTATAAAATTACAATCGTAATAAAATGTATATTGGTACGCGACTAAAATTCTATTATTATTATTATTATTATTATTATTATTATTATTATTATTATTATTATTATCAAATGGATGTAGTGTGAAAATTTTACTGGGACTTGATACAATGTTTAATTATGCCAATGTTCACAACCGTATTCAGCATATGAAAATAACTCACATTTGAATCGGAGAGTATTATTCCTTGTTTTTTTTCTTAAAAACACTTACTGAATAGTTTGATCCATCTGAAAACTGCTTTTTTACTTAATGTGTAATCTCCCTAAATACTTTATGAGCTACCTGGAGGTTTTCTCAAATTTTACCAATGACATAAGTAGTTCAATCTGGATGTTTGTTGAGCAGACAACGCATCGTTATTTTATAGTTAAACGATATCAGTCGTTAAATTCCAAAGAATGATAGACAACTCTGCAATATATCCCACTTATTTATCCTAGAAGATAATTTAAGATTTTATTACTTAAGGGAGAGTTAAATAGCGGCTAGCAGTGGAATCCACGATGCGTATTTTATTATATTTAGGAATTGTCAGCTGGAAATATTTGGAACTCACTACTAATGTTCACATAGGAACTCGGACCCTGAATATTTCATACCCAGTGTCAATGTGCTTTTCATTGAGGTTTTAAATTCAGATAGCCACTGACTTTGTGGTGTTAGTTGCTATGTCAAGCCCACACAGTTTATTATAGCTTCCGGATAGGCCAATTTATTCATTTTTCTTGAGTCACATTTTGACCTTGTTAATTATTCACTTGTCAACCTTGATTGTTTTTACGTGGGCCTATGTGTGTGCACTTCTTATCCTATTCATCACATGTCTGTAACTAATTTTTCTGACTATAAATATCAATTAACGCTGGAATAAATCTAGTTGGCTCACTCAACTTCTCCACTGCGCGTCATTTCGTTTTGCATCAATTTCTGATCAACGATTGTACGAAATATACGTATTCGAAAATCTATTCCCGTATTTGACTTATTTAATTCGATTATTCACTAATGCAATTTAACTCGATAATAATATACGAGGGTAAACAGGATGTATATTCCGATAACTCCATAACAATCAGAAACGGTGTAACCGGATTCAGATACTGTGCCACTAAAACTAATGTAAAAGCCTCTAGAAATGACTTTATCACTATGTTTGATTAAATGAGATAAAAACCATTTTTAGTGGTCTGTTTTCAGTCGATCTCATCTTTGATACAATGATTCATGAGATAGTTATTTAAATGAAATCAACTTTTTATACACGACTAGAGAACAACTCGTAGACGATTAGTAACCAAACCATGACGAAAGAAATTGTTACTAAACAGTTACGGTCTTAAATCTGAAAATTCTTTCCAAATAAATGAAATCCTTGAAAAAAAAACCTAATCTTGATTAAATTGGAAATTATTTTGATCCATTTTATGTCAGGGAAAGTAAATGATTAAATTTATTATCTTTCATCTGTGTAAATTTCCCGAAAAGAATTATAACTGAATTTCCTTTTTTTTATTACATTTATAGTTTTAAAATTACCGTATCCAGAAGTGAGAATGCATTTATGGAGTAAATTTCGCATCATACTTCGTTACATTTACCAATTTCGTAATGATTATGATTATTTTTTAAAGACCGATGATGATGCCTACGTAATTATGGAAAACTTATTGAATGTTTTACAGAATTACTCACCAGATATGCCTTTTATGCTTGGGCATAGATTTCCGGTAAATAATGTGTATCTTCACCTATTATTTATTGTTTCTTGTGGTATTATAGTTGAATGTAAGTTTTTGCAAGGAAGCCTAGGTGGTTAATCAATCGGGGACAGTCAATACAGGTTTAAGGATAAATGTTTCGATATATATTGCCACATAATGTCAGCACAGGGACAACGGTCGAATTAATCATAATAAAAACAACTAAATATAGAGTTAAACTTAAAATTCGAATCAATCAGATAACAAAAAAGAATTAACATACTTATCATTGCAACTAGTCTTGAACCATGTTACCTAAGATCTCCAACCACTGATCCAGATTATCGCACGGTTTCCAACCATATAGTCTTCAGCTACCAACACAAATCAAGTCAAGAGCTGGTGATAAGAGTTATGAATTGGTTTAACTGCCCAAACTTCCTTCCAACCTAGTTCTACGCCACTTAGTATAGATAATTGTAGTTAACGCTGGTTGAGGTCACATAGCACATATAATCAGCCACTTTTATCGATGAAGGTTTACAGTCTAATCAATAAATCTTCGTCCAGTACATTAAATCTAACATCAGCATTGATCATTCAGTTGTTTCACTACTAACAAACAGTACTCTAAAGACATCTACAGTCAAATACCAGCAATTAGGGTATATCCTTTAATTTCAAAATCTACGCTACAGAACAAAAAGCAAAATTTACTTCTAATTAATATAATTTTCTTTTGATTGGTAGAAAAAGAACTCCCCTACATTAGAGGTGGTGGAATTTCGAGAAAATCGAACGAGCTTAGACAGGTGACTCATATATTATCGTATATGCTACCAGTAGATTGATGTTTGCGATTGTGTTACTTACATATCATGTGAACAGTAGTTTTAGTTCAAAATGTATCATTTTCCAAATCACAAATATTTGTATCATGAAAATAGGATCAATCGAAGTATGATCTAAAACGAATTATTTAAGAAATTATGTCACATAATTTTTATGAGTCTGTTTCCACTAAAAATTCAAGATATATGGAGGGATGGTTTATCTTCCTAGAGTTGAGATAAAAGGTTTTAATTGTTATGCAAAAGAGTTAAAAATCTCATTTATGATAAACACTGTTTTTTTAAAAGACTAGATGTCAATAATGAAACCAAAAACAATACTAATCAATATTTCATGATTTTTACATGTTCATAACCAAGTATGACGCGTAACCTTCTTTCATTCAAAGACAATTTATCGTCAATAATATATACCGTATTTTCTGAAAACTTGGGTCATTTTTACTTTATTCATTAGACTACCATGTTTATAAGACATGGAATTTGTTTATGGATTTAATGTGGTATCAACTGTAAAACAGTTATTTAAAGTACTGAATTTCGTTGGTGTAAAAATGTCTTATCACTACTAATTAATTGGCTAAAACTTTAACTTCAAAGATAATTATTGAAGATGCTAAATATCCAAGTTTTATATTAAGAAAAGAATCAATTTGAAAATTCATATACTCATTTACAGCAAATTTTATTCATTGACTTTTGATCTATTTAAGAGTTTATTTTCCAATGAGAAATACGTTTACCCTCCAGATATCAAATGGCACAGTGATTCGTAATACGGGAAATACTCCTGTAATAAAAAATAAAATTTACTTTTCGACAATTTCATTTAATTAAGCTGTACAGTTGTATTTATAATTAATTTTATTTGCTAAAATAGTGTTCTACAATAAAACAGAAGTGTACTAATTAGTTAAAATAACTTGAGGTGGTATATTGTCAAGATTTGAAAATAGGATACTGACAAGAAGTTATATGATAATTGGCTAGTGAAAAGTAGTGAAGTGAAAATAATTGTCCACTTGACACATATTAAGAACAAAAAGATTAAAAATTGCAATAATTGCTAATTAATAGTTGTGAAAATAACTGGAAAGGAGTAGAAATAATAAAACAAATAAAAACAATAGACTATGAAAGATAGAAAGGGAGGTTAGGGACATGGAAGAATGAGGGACTGAACATACTGTTTTGTACGCAAAAGTGAGTCTTAAACTGGTGGATAACAATAGCTTCGGCTGTACATAAGTTTTTTCATTTACGTTCCTATTGAGCTAACTCTTCTGATTGTTTGCATAATTTTGAAGGAGGCTTCTGGTGAAGCGAAGTGATCGAAAATGACTAAATACTCTAAGATTGTTATCTTGAGTAACTTCTTTAATTCCTTGGAGAGTTAGGCAGGGTAATTTTTGGAGATGCGTTCCAAAATAGCTCGTTTTGCGCAGCCAATACAACCTGCTCCACACGAGCAAGTAAACAAATTTGACCCAAGGCGGAAGCTTATCCTTCACACAACTTCTAAGCATAGGCTGTTTTTCAGGATTTCTGATGCACTGTCTCCTTTAAAACGAATGTTTATGAAGAGAGTCTTCTTTCATGCTACGGAAACTCACGTTGTTGTCTTAGCTTAGAATTTTCTCAGTGGATCTAGGTGGATATCCATTGTTGATCTCTATCTGCCGTAGTTTAGTAATTTCAGTATCAACTGTATCTTTATTACAGATACGTCTAACCCTCCAACATGGAGAATGTGTTAGGTTTCTCCTTTGCCTCAGTTAAACCCAACTTTGAAAATTCGTGTACTGACTATTCCATGTTGACTTTCAATATATCGATGTTTGTATGGAACCGTCAGGTCTCTATTTCACCTAACCATCTAAGATATAGAGTTCAGAATGCGACCGGATTCTACTGTGAACCTGATTGATTGATAACAGTTGTTGAACGCGTCTAGGATGTTGTTGACATTGATATTTTTGACACAAATTGTAAATGTGTCGTCAAAGTATCTCCTGTATAGATAAAGGCTGTCAAATATTGGTCTAAGCATAATGTCTTCGAGATTAGCAATAAAAGTCACCTAAAAGTGGGCCGACTAGTGACTCCATCGCTACGTCGTCAGTTTATCTATACACTTATTTATGCCTGTTACCCCTCGTGAAGGAGCATAGGCTGCCCAGTTTGTCTATAGAAATCATTGTTAAATTTAAAATGGACGTTAAGAGTGTGTCGAAGAATTAGCTCCTTCAAATAATATGTTGGAACATGGACATCGAGTTCGTTGTATTAATATATAATTACAGTTAGCAGATTGTTTCCGTTAAAGGTATATTTGTAAAAAGAAAGAAAGCATCTAGTGAGGTCATTTTCTTTCCGGTTACGTTGACGCAATATTGAATCGACAAAATCAAACGAATCAGCAGTGGTGTATCTATTGAGTTGATTTTTGACTGATCGTAGAATTTCAGCTAGCCATTTGGCGATGGCATGATATTGAGAGTTATTCATGTCTAATATAGGACGTAGAGGGAAATCTTTTTTATATTCTTTAGGTAGGCCATATATTCGTGGGATAATAATTTGATGAAGTTATCGAATTACAGACAAAAATTAAATCATAAGATGGATTCATTTTATTCTGCTCAAATCTCCGGTCTTTATTTTATTCAATATGACTTGGGGATCTGAGATTTTAAGTATCAAAACACGATTACATATTGGTCTAGAATTTAATGAAGAGTAGGGAGATGAAAAAGACCTACGGATCACAAATTGCCCACTTGACGGATATGAAGAAGAAATGCAAAGCGTCAAGGATATATTACTAAAGAAGGAAATTCTACTTGTTAAAATCTCAACTTAAAATAAATCAAACGTTTCGCTCGTTAGTTTGTATTTTTGTGCTAAATTACATTTGTTTATTTATTATCATTTTTATGCATGCTATAACACGCTCGATTAGCATCTACCACATAACCCAACATCATCATCAACCGTAGCCATCCGGAGGTGATGAAATTATTTTCTCACACCAAATCTACATACACACATATATATCTGTTATCTAACTACATTTTCCCACTTTTTCACTCGAAATGACTCCTACTCACTACAAAAAATCCCGATCTCATCACTTTTAACATGACTGAATGAATTGTTTGGTGTGCAAGTAACCTGTGTATCATGTTGTAGTGAACAGAACACGGGTGGGAACAATCGAGTGCATTTGACACAAAATTACAGGACCTGCAAATAAAATCTAACAATCAAATAGTAAATACGTAATGTGCAAAATGTCAATCGATTGTCTCATAATGACTCAGGCTTCATTGTTCTTGCAGTTTCATACAAATAGCATCATGTTTCCATTCTTTACTGTTCGATCCTCTTGTCTCTCAGCTGCCTGACCTGTTCACGAATAACATCATATACTACTTATATAAGTAGCACATACCATAATGTATTTATATTCAAGAATTTTGATGATTGATTAAATTCCTTTAAAAAAGATTGAACCAGACTGTCGACTGAAAAGTTGTATTTACATTCAATCGCTAAGATTTTGACAAATATAATTTCATTTTTAATAACAACTGAATTCTGATTATGAAAAATTGTAAGGCGGTAACAGTAGCTGTTTACTGATTTAAGAAGTAAACTATAACAGTGAGAAAATAAAAACAAAACATATCGAAATTGGTGTGAAGGTTAAGGTAGAATGATAAAATGAACATGTTACTTTTGTACTCAGAGTTGTTTGACTGCCAACGCTTTAGCAGTGCACAAGTTTTTGACACAACCACCATTTAATCCCACTCTTTTGACTGTTTAGATTATTTTGATAGACGGTTCCCGTGTAACTACATTATGAATCATCTGAATTTTCTTAATTCTTTACTATTGAAACAGTGGGTTAATTTAATTCTCTAAACATCAATTTTAACATAGGTTTTCGAATGACTCGATAGACTGTTCTAGTTCATCTCCATGTAATAGTCTAGAGTCTAGAGAATTTATGCTTTTGGTTAATAACTTACATAAAAAACTTCTATAAGTTTACTTTTCTCGCCTTTTCTTAGTTCTGGTTATTTTGGTTATCACTATGTCTTTCATTTTACTTAAAGGTATTCCTAAGTATTTCTTTGTTGCTAATTCAGTTATGTAAATGGTCTTTAATGAATAATATATCTATCAGTTATTCTGTTTAATATTTTTAACTAAATGATAAACTACGTTTGTTTGTTATCACGTATCTTAACGAAACACATAATAATGTTCTATTAGAAATGAAAATGATCTCTTTATCTATATGGCAACTAAAAATGATTACAGTGAAATTAACTTCACTTGATACATATTATCTGTGTACATTTCTTTGATTACTAGTCTGACTGATTGAATTTCAAAATTTCTCGAGTGAAACGATCATTATTAAATTACAGTGAACATGAAAAACAGATTGACTTCAGAATCGTTTGAAACGAATCAACTTTTGTCTAAAATTTTCATTTTAAAGCATTCATAAATCAAAGCTATAGAAATATGTGGAATTTTCAAACTACAAACAAGTACAGTATATATTCAGATAGAATTATTAAATACAATTTTGTTACTCAATATATATACCATCTCTTTGGCTTTTAGATTCTTGCTCGAAATGGTTATTTTTCTGGTGGTGCAGGCTACGTTCTATCTAGAGAAGCATTAAAGCGTATAGTTGAACAGTCAATTGACAGACATCATAATTGTCCAGTTTATGATGAAAATATGGAAGACGTAAAAATGAGTAAGTAAAATTATTAGTATTCTTCAAAACTTCGCTCACCAGAATCCAGACATATCCGGTATATAATAACCCTTTCAAATAGACGTGAAAACAGTTCATTAAAGCTTATTTTATAAAATTTAGAATATATCTATGTTAATATCATTTAAAATACTTCCTATTTTAGTGAATAAACTTTTTCGATCTTTATTTGTTTGAAACACCCTTGAAATTCTTCAGGAGTCAAACTGGATGCTGTGCTCGTAAAAGCATAATTTGTTACAAATGATAACCGTGTCCTGAATGCTCGATATTTTTAAAGTTTGTATGAACTAAAGAAGTCTATAGTCGTTTATAATCAGCAACCTGGTTAGGACAAGTCTCTTATATATCGGAATGATCAAATGAAGTTATTAATATTAATATGTTCATTGAAACGAGAATAAGTCATTCATAAATTTTCATTTCCCTTAGTTTACTTTAAAAGTAACTAACAAACTAACGTTGTTAACTTGTTGTGTAGTCCACGTTAATTGTCATTAGAACTCCTAGTTTCTCGTTATTCCTTCATTTTTCACAACTACATGACCGTTTTCTATTCTAAATAATCTTGTTTATTTTGATTGTATGGTAATATAAACTCTTTATCAGTACAGAGTTGTGGAGATTGTTGAACCTTTACTGTTTATTTATTTTAACACATAAACATTAGTACAAGGGAGCTCCAAATACATATACGCCACATAATAACAATGAGGTTCTAAAGAGATAGTGAATGTAAGGTACTTATAATAACAAGAACAACGAACAGAAATTAGTGTATGAGAACGAAATAATAATAATAATAATAATAATAATAATAATAATAATATAAACAGTCCAGTTAGCAAACGAGTTTTTATTGAAATTATGTGCTGATGAGTTCACTTGTGACTCGCTTCGAGAGGTGATTCTCGGGGTTCCATAGAGAAGCGTAATCAGTGGAGTTAATCCATATTCGGTTTTGAGGCAGTTACCCATCAAAGACAATGAGAGATTGTCGCGCAGTATCGTGGATTGATTATAAACAGAAATGACTGTTAGTGTTAGAAGTGGAGGTAAATTCGAAATAAATAAAAGATTCTGGTTATTTATTTCCTAAAACAAATATGCACTGCATATGAACCCTATATTTCAGGTTGAAATTTATCTTTTTTCATCTATAAATACATACTAAATATTATTAAAGGTTCAAAAAGCCCATCTTTTGATGGAAGTAGATCTATTGAGTGGGCATCTGTAGCTCAGGTGTATGTTTCTGGTGGTGTTTTATTTAAACTAGATGTTTTTGTTGCAATCTTGGACAAAACTATCAGAGCTTACTTAATGTAAAAGTGAGCTTTATAATTATTTCACAAGTGCTGTATAAGTTTGTTCTGATGGCATTAATTGTGAGTGATTATCTTTTTAGGTTTTGTTGTCTTCATTTATTTCTGTATTCATGCTGATTGTCTTTTTCGGTTAAAATTCAACTCTATAATTAAATTACTTCTTCCATATGGGTTGTTACATTGGTTTTATGTTTATGTGCCTTCTCATCTGTTGAAATTCATCTTGATATAGTTATTTTCTAATAGAAAATGTGAAGATAACAAATTTTCTCCTTGCATAACTAATGGGACAAATAATATTTTTCCAGTTGAAATACTTTCAAGATTCATGTAAATAGTGCATACATTTGTTATTACTATTATTTTCTTAATAAAATATTAATAATGAGTTTAATCATTTCTATCATACTGATCGTTTTCGATCATCATAACTATCAATCAAAAGATTCACCGTACACTGATAGGCCACTAATCAGTCATCCATGTCATACTTGTCTACTCCTTATAACTGATCGAATTCCATTGATTACATTACAATTTGACCACTAGTTTTAGTGACCCTACATCATGTGTACCATATTCTTTGGTGAGTTATTGGCTTAACGCAACTAACAGGAAACCTTGGATCTAGGATTTTCATTAGTTAGCACCCATTATCAAACCATATTCAGCTTTGTGGTTAAACCCTATCTTGGTCGATAAGCTCCGATAAACACCATAGAGGAGTCAGTATGAGACCAACTTCTACTAACTGGTCAGTTAGTTTGTAAACATTACAATCTTACAGATCAATTGTCTTATCACGACTACCTCAACTGCTAACTTCTCTGACTGTGACACGAAGTGGCATCAACACCTATGCACAAAACTCAAGAGGAGTACCAAAAAGAGAAAATCTTAGGTCAGGACGTTTTAGTAGTTGCTTCTAACCAACAATCTTCAAGAAAATTTCTATAATATACACGTAAGCTGAGGTTACATGGAATGAAAGACTGTCATATCAAGTCAATAAATCTACTTAACAGTGAATTCAATTCAATTAACTTAAAAAATTCGTAAATTAAGTCTAATTTACTCTGCTCAAGGTTAATATAAAAAAACAATGTCCGAAAATAGAAACTAAATAACCCTCTCATATGTCATGCATGAATTTATTTATTTTTCCAATTTGTTGATAAAAGAATCTTTTCAGTTCTCTTTTCCTTCATGATATTTATATTTGTAAGCCGATAATTTGACGGACATGCGTAAGCGCACTATAAGGCAAGTGTTCATGAATATAGTGAAAATAATTGATTCTTAAAAACGTGGAAAACATCTTTTATGTTATATCCACATTTGTAACTTGAAGTAAATTGCAGAAATAATTTTTGACTCCTGTACGTTATTCAACTTATATAGGTATATGTGGACAAGCAGTTGGTGTTCGCTTATATGATGTATTTGATATACTTGGTCGTTATCAATTCCGTTGGAGATCGCTTGATATGTTGTTGAATTTTACATCTTTTCGAAGTTTGCACTGGCGTCCTTTGAAATTACAACCGCAAACCTTATATGCAGCACCACATCAAGTAATTTTAGATGTCCGATTAATTTATATTATTACTTTTTTCTTTATATTTCAAATCCAACTGTCGAGTGTTTTTTTTACCCACCGAGAAAATGGAAAAGACAAGAGATGGGTAACTAAATAAACATTTCATGGGTTGCAGAATATAATAAGTTTACTTACAATCATGGTTTGTACTTATGTGCACTGATCCGTAGATTAGATTTTGCTTGTTTACCGTTCATGTTTCCATAAATATTACGAACTGTATTATTTAGTATAGTAGAAATCGTTCTTTGTTACATTTTGAATAAATACAGTTAACACGTAAAACAGTTATATACACTCTAACTTTAAGCATTTACACACTTTGTGTGAACTACTCAGTTTTATATGCTACAATTTTAACGATCTTGTAGCCAACCGAAAATCAATTCCCGAAGTTTCAAGAAGAATTGTTGATTAATGGAGCTAAGCTGTGCCGAGTAAGTGACAGTCACCTGTCAGCGATAGAAGATTGTCTTTCTCTAACAAAAACTGACTGAATTAGTAAGTAAGAACCATCGGTTTCTTACTCAGTGGTTTAATTATAGCACGTTTGACTTGTGACCTGAAATCTTTAGGTTTAGCTGTCAGTGGAGACGTGCAAAAGTTCAGATTTCCGAGTCAAAGCAGGAGAATGGAAAAGGTAGAGAAGTTTCAACGGTCGTCTGTCAGATTGAGAACATTACAATGTACTTAATACACACCGATATGTTAATGTGGCTGTTTAAAAACATGCGTTGTTTACATGAACATCAAAAACTGGTCTACAGTTCTATCAAAATATAAGTATTTCATTCAGCCATGGTAGAGGTCAGATGGGTACTTATTCTTTTCAAAGAATATCTATCTGTCTTCCGAGATTTAAGCTAGGATCCATTTTGTTAACTTTGAAACGCCTTATCTCGTCAACTATATCGTAACATCTGACATTGAAAATATGAATTCTTCTATTAACTTCAAGATCTAATAATACACTAAAGACGAATGAATTCATTTGGTTCAAACAAATAATGACTTATTGTTCTGATTATTTATAGTACAATGTCTTACTGATTAAATTATTTGACTTGCAATCACTTTATTGTAGATTCGAATCTTTCTTGACATTTATTTTACACTGTATAACTAGATAAAATCAATAATAGTTTTAAACATTACCGCTCATTCAATTGAGTCCTATTACATCAGTCATTAAATTAATTAATTATTGCCTGAAATAAGTTTAACCATACTAATTCATAAGTAAATATTAAATTATTACATTGATATAAATGTTATGATTTCTATAAAAATGATATCTTGTTTTAATTATGATACCCGAATGTGAAGATAACAACGATAAACCTCTATAGTTAGAAGAACTTTCTATTCAATGATGTACAGTGTTAATTTGCATTACTTTCCTTTACAATTTATTTTTTTTAAATCTTTTTTCTTTTTTTTTCATCATTTGACAATAATGATAATAATCATGTCATAATCATTCATTTTGGTACCGATAATCATTAAGTCATTACTTAGTGATGTTGGAATCAGCTTTCATTATGTTACACCAGATATGATGTATATGTTAGAATATTTCTTATATCATTTACGTCCAATTGGATTAGTGAATAATTTTGTACAACTACCTAAAGAAATGTGTAATGTACAATGAAATATTAATCATTTATCTATTCGTATTTCATTTTTGTATGTTGACAATAATTTTTTGCCCGCTTCATTTTTCATAGATCTTTATTTCAATATAATTAGTATATTTGAATAATACAATAATTTCTTTCTATCATGAATTGTTAACAATCAATTGTAATGATGACATTTCATGTTATGGTACGTATAAATTATGTACTTGTCTGTTTCTCTATAATCGTACATATTACTTTTGTAGAAGTTCTATTCCATTTTGTATTTTCTGCAATGAAAGATCATTGTTCAGAACAAAAAAATGTAATCTGTTAAGTATATTCATTGAATTCATGGTATTTGTTCAAAAAAGGTATCTTGATAGAGTCTTTGTAGTAATGTATACAAAATGTTTATAAAGATAATCATATTTGCTATTTTTCATGAATATATAGACTATGCTGTGTTGTAAAATTTATAAAATTAACAAATAACATATCAGATTTTTGTTAAAAATTTGTTTAAATAAACTAGATTTAACAAAAGGCATTGATTTTAAATGATTAAGATATACTACGGAATACTCATGAATGAATGTTGTAAAAAACATTGATTGTTATGATGTGCTGAATAGTCAGTTGATTTATTCAAACTAATAATCAATCTGAGGATAATTGAGATCATGAACCGATCAATGTTTGACAACCATCGGAAACCCGGAAGCATTAGAGGTTAAGCACTCTTGTGCGAGACCGGAGGTCCTGGGTTCGGGTCCCTTGTGTGAGATCGTGGATGAGCACTGTTGAGAAGCCCCGCAAGAGAAAAACACCGTCCAGAACTTCCAGGTTTTCAGTGGTTGTCTAACATTGATTGGTTAATGATGTCAATCAAAACTCAACAGTCTCAACAACCCTATACTGATCATCTGAGGATAGTTAGTGAAAATTCAAGACTGTTGTTCTTATTTCATTCGATATGACGTACTATACTGTCTTTATTAAAATGATCATGATATTTAAGAAACTGGTGATATGTATATAAACCTCTTCACTGATAATTTATCGCTAACTATCACTACGGTAAAATAAAACAATTTTTTGAATAATAATCAGTAGTACATTATAAGTATTACAATCAAGTACCTGAACGGAATCTCCATTATTGAATTTCCATTGACTGGTTGGCATACAAATTTCCGACTTTGTAAAACTGACGCATCAAAATATACAGTCCAATAAACGGTTGAGGACAATCGGAAGGGAGATGAAGATTTATTTCACACTGGAAGATAAACTGATCATTATTTCCTTCAATACAATCATGTTTATACGGTTTTATTTTATACTGATTAAAATTCGAACTTCCAAAATCATTAATAATTGTTGCATAATCTGTTATATACAAAAAATTTAATAACTGTCATTTCAATTCAAATGTTAGTGTCGACAACAGTGCAAACTGACTAGTTAGACATTTAAACTATTGGATGCTAAATCAACGGTCTAGAGGTTAAGCAATTGATGCAATACCTAAACCTCCAGGGTTTGATTTCTCGATGACGTTGTGGACATCCACTTCAGAAGAGTCCTTCACTAGAATAAAATCGCTGTTCATTGCTTTCTAGTTAGAGTAGTCTTCTTCTACAAAACTTTATCAGTAAGTTTTTTCATAAAATTTTACGTTCTAAACCATCCCAATTTTACATTGTTTACATAATGTGAATGAGGTAAACTCAAAATTTTATGAAGTAAACATTGTAGATGTTTTTCTTTGTAGTGTAATACTATTTTCAATTAATTCTTAAATATAAACCAAATAGTAAATAAACAACATATAAACGACCTCTTTTTTAATAGAAGGTAACGTAATTTTAATGACCTTAGGAAATAAGAAGACATAATATCTTAATAATAATAATGATAATAATTTTAAAAAAATATTTACATAATCACCATGGGTTTGCTACTTAACTCACCATAGTTATAACAAACATTCTGACTGATATATAAAAGATATATGTATGTATTTGATGAAGTTATTCTTATCATATTTTAATGAATTCAACTTGTTTTAGTATTAGTCTTTGTTAATACTCGTAATAATTTGTATTGTAGTTGTAAACCATTATGAATCTAAATAACAGTTCACTAATTTAAATTAATGAGAGAATAACTCTGGTAATTAACTTTGCTAATTATTTTTTAGCTGTGGTAGTTTTTTGAATGGTAATAATAACAACAAACACTTGTTTATAAGGAATATGACTGACGATTATATTTTTTTATTATTTATTTGTTAAATACTTGAAATGTTGATATATTCTAATCAATTGACCATTCTTTTAATCTTAAATTACTTTAATAAGGGATGTCATTGATTAGTCTTGCGTATTGAACGCTATATTCGTCTCCTAAACTATTCTATAACCCCGAATCTAGAACTATACAGAGACCTGAACACGATAGAGAAGACTCAAAGTATGCGAGAAGTACTTTACTCCAAGGTTCATTTTAATACAGAAAATACAGGGTTTTTATAATATTTTCAGATGTTCTTGGGTTGCTCGAAGATTCTGGAATGCTACTAAACATAGTAGCAGTGTAGCAACCAGCCAATCAGAACCTCTGCATATGACGTTTCGCTCCCTTGATATTTTTGGCTAAGACTTCAAGTGAACGCTGATTGGAGGAAACGCTTCCTAGTGTTTTCTGATTCTTGCTTGTCTCTTGCGAGAAATTTGCCGGAACACCCCAACAGTCATTATCTTAGTTGAGGAGTTTAGTTACGAAAGTATTAGTGCACGCCCATACGCCTGTATGAAACCGAACCTGGTAACTTTATAGTACAGTATTAACTGAGATACCATTTCAATTAATTCATTATAGTTCAATAGTGTCTACTTTTATATAGCTTCAGAGTGAAGTGATTCCAATAACAATAGTTTATTATTATTATTATTATAAGCTTTATTCAACATTATATTTTTGGTAAAACATAGAATTCTCAGTATAAAGTATTTCAACAAGCTTCCTTTTCTTATATCTTGATCGATTGTGACGATCAATTTTGAATGATGACCAGTTAGATGTTAGGAGTTCGGCAATCCACATTTGATTAATGTTCATTCGTTTCAATCCATATTGCCAGCCACCATGATGTCGCTGACTGTACCTTTTTGTATCCCGTATAGCGAAAGGTTGTAAACTTTTCATAAACGCGCCTGAATAGATTGTGAGCACAATAAACATAATGATGTGCTAAAACAAACAACAGAACAGATAACTTGATGAAATATCTAGATCGGAGGAACAGGTAGCCCAGATATTCAAGCAGGCCGCCGGTGATACAATACGAAATTATCTTAATTAAATCCTAACTGGAAACTGAGAATTACTGGATAGCTATTTCAACCTTAAATGGTATTCAGCAGTGAGTATTCAATACCTTGCTAAAGGAGATCGAATTTAGAACGTTAAGATGTAAAATTAAAAAAAATTGATAATTTCAATGAAACTCCTATGCTAACAGTCTCAGATAACAGATATCATTTTGTTACTCTTTGTACTGTATTACATACTAATAGGTTTTCGTTTTGTCGACCATAGAAAACGTTAAACTTATAGATGAGTAAGAAAGTATTTCATACAATTTGGAAACAAACTATCGAATAAGTAAACTTACATTAATGACTGTCAAAAAATTAGCTTGATATATATATATATAAGACCACCATCGTAACCAAATACTTGTCACGTGAACTCTATGTTAATTAAAATGCGTTATCATCGAATTCGGAAAATCCTAAAGAAATCATCGTGGTAAAATTATAATGAGTTTAAAAATCTTCTGGTGAACAAGTTCGGGCGTGCAGAATTGTAGGTACAAGGATATTTCACATTCCAAGCTATACAATCACATTTAAATCATGACCATATTTGTAGAATACAAACATCGAACAATTAAACATTATTTAATTAAACAATATACTAATACTCTCTAGTATGTTGTCATCTACATATTCTATAAATCTTCAACCATCTAATACCAATGATTTTGGTGTATTAAGCAATAGTACGACAAATAATTTATTTCAATGAAATATATAGTTATGGTTTTCACCAGAAAATAACATCTACTAGACGACAATTTATTATGAAAGAACATTCGAGAGACACTTTTTTGAAACGCATATTTATTAAACAAACATAAATAATTTGTGTCGAGCAACTATAATATTGATAATTCAATGTATGCATATTGCCTAAACAAACAGGTAGGCTGTATTCTCTTAAAAATGGGGTTAATCACAATATTCTCCCCAACACGTGATAATGTTAAACAGAAACTTTAAGGTTCATCTCCCCTCAAACTGTTACTACCTAAGAGCACAAACTCCTCAGATTTGGATGTTATTAAAGTAGAATCTGTCAGTGAAATAACTGAATTTCTTATCTTTAGACATGCTATCCTTTTCTATAACATTCCAGATAAAATACCGCTGAAATTAGATAAGTATTTGATGTTGAGAGCAATCAATCTTCTGTTAGTTTGTTTGTTTAAAAAAATACACTGAAAGTACTTTTATTCCATTCTTTTTCAATTTGAACCCCACTTAGTACCCGAGTGAAAATGTTTGAACCGCTAATTGTTGCTCCCACTAAGTTTAAGAAGTCATATATAGTCGCAACGAAAACAATCAACCAAAGACTTATGTAAACGAGCACTTTACACAACATTAATGCTGCCTAAACTACCACAATTATTGTAGATTCCTTATCAGCAACTTTTCCTATCATGACTGGATCACATGGTAATGAAAGTCCTCAGCTGTCACAAAGTACTGAAAGTATAACATAAGCTATGAAAAATTAAGATCTAACCTCTGACAATCTGTATGCCTCAAACATTAGTATAGATCTTATGGATGCCGATATTGTGTCTTCAACATTAATAACAAAAGCATAAATACAAATATCCCTTTTTGAAATATAAACGTTTTTGTTTGCCTGAAGAATTTAAAAAACCCAAGAA